TCTTCACATTTTCAGATATAGTTTCTTCAGAGATGATCCTTTATTGCACTTCTACAGTTCTCGCCACAGTGATCCCAAGGGTGTTGTCTCTGAACAGAAAACTCATTCATTTCTTTTGCCCTGACTGGCTGCTCTGTAAAATTAAAAAATACAATCACATCATAGATTTTAAATATACCTTTTAAATAACCTCTTAGCAAACACCTGCCACACTTTCTTTTTTGGTGGGGGAATAACCAGAAGTTCTCAGCGTAGTCTGTTGAGGGAAAAAGACAGAGCATTGTGTTAGTACAGTGAAAAATGTATGCAAACATGAAAGTAGTGACATACTGTGCCAATGCCATTGGTCAAAATGTTCAGTTTTTCAGTATACAGTTAATATGCCTAAACTGAACTCAATTATTTATTAGTAGTGAAATTTATTAATTTATTCATCTCAGAAATCTGCAGTGCTATTTATTATTTTGTTATTGCTATGTACAGTGCAGATTCAGCCGCTGATTAAATGTTTGTTATTGGGAATTAATTTTCACTCAAAACAATAGCAAGAGCAATATTTGATTAAGGATGTCTGGTGTTCTTCATAACACACAAAACATTAGCTCGTAAATTGTACCACACTGATCACCTGTTCAGACAAGAGCATGTAGCACGTTCACATCGGTTGAAGCCTTCGTTGAATACAGCCTCAAACTGCAATGACAAACAGAGACAGGAGCAAGGTCATAAATGTAAATTATGCAAGCATTATAATGCAATGTGTCCTCTTCACCTTTGGTGTGGATTGAGATGTCTTGCTGAATCATTTGATGCATGTTTCCGCCTAGAAAATCCCTCTCAAAATCTCAAGATGTTTCTTCAGTCACAAGATGCTGCTGACATGTGACACCATAGAATGAAGACTTTGGTTCACATGAACATGTAGCTGTGCTCAGCACCACAGAAAGCAGTCAGTGGAGACACTGCCTCTGTTGTGTCTCTCTTTGGATTTCTTAAAAACTCAAGGTTGGCAAATTGTTGAAATCTGATCTCCTCTGTCCTACATTTGGATAGAACATCTCAGGTGCCGCATCACTAAAAAGAGAATACAGTTGGTTGTTGTCATAAATAAATATTAACACTGTTAATGACAAATATTTTCTCTGCTATATTGTAGCACTGTTGAAAAAAGTCACAATAACTTAAGACTGAGGGTTGACCTACAGTTAATTGGGGCTAGACTTGGGAAAAATGTGAGGACAAATCTGGATATGACAGAAAATCAAGTGTATTTTTGGATGGACTCTATGATTGTGTTCCATTGGATTTGAAGCAGCTCAACGCAGTGGAAACAATTAGTGGCAAATAGAGTCATCGAAATACAAAGTTTGACATTACCAGAGAACTGGAGACACTGGCTGTGTCCCAATTCGAGGGCTGCGGCCTCCGAAGGCTGCGAAGGCTGCAGCCCTTGAACTGGCCTTAGCGGACTGCCAGGAAACAGGACAGGTCTAGCCCACGGAGCGTACGTCAACAGGTGTCTGTGATGAATCCGTGTATCATTCGTTCATTCGTTTTTCAATATAAAACCAAAAATAAGAAAACGAAAAAACAACAGTTTTCTTCATTATTTGTCTCCAAAACCAAAATGAAAAAACGGATAACGATTCGTTTTTTCAGTTTTCGATTTTGTGTTTAAATGAAAAATGGACAAAACGGATAACGACCGTTTCCCGTTTTGTCCAATTTTGATACTTAAGCAATTTGCGTGAACCGGAAATGAAACTTTACTAGGCGCATAGACACACGCGTATATTGACAAGGAGGACGCGCAAAACAAACTTAATGGCCGCTGGACTTGAGGATCATCATCATATAATTAAACAGCTTTTTGAGGATGGAAAAACGCATGCTGAGATTTCTAATACGCTGCGGCAGTTGGGTATTAAGAGATCCTCGGAAATGTCGGTGAGAAGATTCTGTATTCAACACCAACTCCGGCGTAAAAGACATGTATCAGACGCAGAACTGGAAACTGCTGTCCTGTCATCAATACATAAGGTAAGTGCAAGCTGTAAGCATGTGCAAGCTATACATATACACTTTTTATATAAAATATATTTTTGGAAATAGTCTTATTTTGTTAACTTGATCGCCTAAAATGTTAGACAAGCGCAGTTTAAGTTTAGGTACAAAAGCTAAAGTGACCAGGCGTCCCCGATTTCCGTGCATTGTCCCCGGTTAAATCTGATCGCTTAAAGGTGAGAAAAAAGCCCCAGCTTGAGACCTAAAAATATGTCCAAGCGGAATTTCAAAATCGTCCGGACTGCTTTCCGTATTCAGATGGTAGGTTAGAATACTCCTCGAGTAGTAGACCGCGGTTGGTTCGAATCAATGTGGTTGTTGTTAAATGTGGTTGTGTCGAGTGGCGTTTTGTCTGATCAAAACGACAATTTTTATTTTATTTAATTTTTTAACTCTTTTTGTTTTTGTCTTAACAGACAGGTCCAACTTATGGACGAAAATTCATGACAGGATACCTGTCATCTGTGGGAGTTAAAGCAGGTGAATCTCGAGTAGGAAGGATTCTTAGAGAAGTTCACCAACCATATTATGAGCTGCGTTGCCAGGTAAATCACTTCCATTAATTATATTTGTAAGCAGAAAGATGGTTTTTGAAATGACCTCATGAAAGTTAAATTATAGTATAAAGTATTATACTTTTATAAAGTATTATACATACTATATTATATACATACTTAAAGTATGCATATTAGCAGTACATGCATGTATTATGTTTGTGAATAATTTGAATATTTTTGCAGATTTAATGTTATTGCACTTATGATTGTTTGCTTTGTGCTTCTTAGGGAGCACGTAACCTAAATCCAGTTCCCTACCATGCCGAATACATGGGTCACAAACTGCATCTAGACCAAAATGAGAAGCTGGGAATGTTTGGAGTGACACATGTCTTAGCTATTGATGGTTTCAGCAGCAAAATTGTTGCTGTATCCACAATGCCAGTGAAAAACAACCTTATTATTTATGAGGAAGTATACAGGCAAGTACAGTCAAGGTTAAGTAAATAATAGGCACTACATTATTGCACTGTGGGCCTGATTTACTAAAGATGTGTGTGTGTAAAAATGTGTACAAACTTGACATCACCTGTAAAAAATGTGCAAACTGATGTACTAACACAACACACTGAAGTTTGCATCTTTCAAATGTGTGTCGTTTGACATAATGAATATGTAATATGAGGCATTTTAACTCTAGTGTGTAAAATACAGGGAGGAGCTAATGTAAATATGTTATACAGTATAGTACACGCATTGTGATTTACCAAACTCAAAGGTGAATTTGCTGACACTAACTGCGTCTATAAATAAAACCTTGTTTTTAGTAGATCACTGCAACACACGCTAACTAAACACACAATCTGTTGCACTGTGCACACAGTTTTGTTCCTTTATTTGGGATCTTCATAAATCAGGCCCTGTGTGTACGATGTGCATTTGAATGCAAAATAAATATGATTCATGCATCCATATAATTTGCACATTTCTTTATTACAGGAAAGCAGTTGCTAACAACGGATTATGGGACCAAATCAGAGTCGATCATGGCAGGGAGTTTTATTTGACTCTGTACATGCAAGAAAAGCTGTCTCAACACAGACATAACATCAATAGGCTTCCTTACGTGCAGACAACCTCTTCAAAGGTGAATTTGGTCCTACTGACTACATATAAAGATAACTGGTAACTTTTAGTTTTATTTATTTTTCATGAAACAGGGACCATGCACAAATAAATAATCTTTTCTCATTTGAGATTAATGTATGTCAGATTTACTTATGGGCTCCTCTCCTCTGCAGTCCCTGGGCAGTTACATATTTTAAGTACTGTACAGTAGTTGGCTGATATGTTTAGCAACTGTATTTTCAGTGAAAATTATTATTTACAAGCCTATATCAGAAAAAAGTTAGCCCAGTGTGTAATATGCAGATAAAACCTGACAGCAGAGATAATTAAAGCAATGCTGCCTTTTATGATTTTTGGATTGTAAAAAAAAAATTGGGATTTTAAGTGTACTTTTTTTGTGTGCTTTAAACAGAACCTTCGAGTGGAAAGAATTTGGCCAGAGGTCAACAATCGGGTGAACTATCCCGTAAAACAGGCCCTGGTCCACCTGCTGGATCAGGAATTACTTGATATGCAGGATAGTATTACAAAATTTTGTGTCTCCAATCTGGCATGTCAAGTGAGTGAGATAGGACTTGGCAGAGTTGTGCAGTCCTGGAATGCCCATAGGATACCAGGTAAGGTGTGATAATATTTATGTGTAGTTTTTGAACTGACAGAATTTTGTCCAAAACTAAAACCAAATCTTTACCAATTTTAGGCAGAGGGATACCAAACGAACTTGCAGCTTCTAGTTGCGCAACAAGAATTCCCACAGAGCTGCTGCCCAATGCTGCTGAGGCAGCACACATGTACGAGGAAGAGCTAGGGTCCTCCCTGACTTGGGTGTCTGCCTTTGGCTCTGACCCATTTTTATCAGAGCAAGACCGATCTCATGCTGAGCATGTGTTTGGAGAGAGGTTTCCAGACATGTCTGTTCTTTTTGAAACAGTGGTTAACAATGACTATAGAATGTTTCAGGAGGCATTGTTGTACCTTTTAAGTGTCTCTGGAAGACATGCAAGATAAATATAGGTGGGAGTATATCTAACTATGTATATGCATAATGTATACGTACAGTGGTTTTATAAGAAATTTAAGCTAAATTGCAAATGAATAAATCTGATTTTTTTTCAGAACAATGCATGTTTATTGTTATATAGTTTTTGCAATAAACAAGCATAACAACTATAAAATCCGACTGTCACAATACATTTTAACATGTGACTGAAATAAGTGCTTTGTAAAAGCATCGACATTACACATACAAAGAACTGACATTTGGATCATATAAAAATTGCCATAAAAACTTGTAAAACACATTAGACATTACAAAAATAAATCTGAACTGTACACTGTAAACAAACAACTGCTGCCACTTTTACTGGGATTATGTTTAGAATAACTTCTCCAGTGCTGCCAGTGCCTCATCGAGTCCAGCCACTTCGTGGATGCCTCTATCCAAATCTACAGACCGACACTTCGGGCAGTAATCATGGCTGCTGTTCCACCTCTCGATGCATTCCTTACACCCAATAAAGCTTCTGCAGCAGGTAGAAAAAACAGGCTTAGCTGCAGGACCTGTAGATTAAAAAAAAAATATATTCTTTTATTTTCATTGTGTTAAGTAAAATCTAGCAGTACAGAAACTGTATGTAGACCAAACTCTGTATGAAGATTACCTAACTTTTAAGTTGATACACAGAGCATTTGACATCTATTTAGCCTCAATGCACTTTGCAAATTCAGGAATTAAAAAAAAAAAAAAAAACATGGGTAAAATGAACACTAGTACAAATTGATATAAAATTTTATTACATGAAATAAAACCATAAAGAATAAATAAGCACAAAATTTTGAGAAGTGTATGTAGTGCCTCAGATCCCTCATTGCATCTTTCTAATGATCCATAGTAAAACAATACCAACCTGTGCAGACAAGACAGCCGAAGACCAGTTTTAGAGAGGCTACTTCAGCCTCTGAAAGACAAAGTGTGGTTGTCATTGTCGACTGTCCAGTCAAAGTCTTGATAATCTTGGACACTTCCTTTAGTCCCTGGGCTGCTTCCACAACCTCCTCGATGTCAGCAATCACCTCCTGAAGGCCAGTATCTTCTTTTCGACTGAAAAACATTTTAAATTTACAATGTAACATTTAATTAGAGTGCAATTAGTTCAAACACTACACATACACTAGTAAGAACCACCATGGCTTTGCTGACATGTCATCCAAAAGAAACTACATGTTGTGCAAAAAAAGACTGAGAAATAAAAACTGATAAAATTATAATATTCAGTCCAGTTACCTCAGCCTCTTTCTTTTGTTGGTTTGTAGCAGCTCCATTTGCTGTTCAGGCACTGCAAACACTTTCCTTGAATTTTGTTTCCAGTATGCTGACCCTGCCATTTAAAAATTTGACCTGATTTTCTTTTCTTTCAAGCAAACATTTGCTGTATTGGTGAAAATGTATAGGTATCTTAAAACTTCAAAACAGGACACTACAATACAGATTTGAAGCAACGAAGATAGCTATGGATGCAAAATGTACTTTAATGTGAGAATTACACTTAGGTGTGTGCATTTACCTGTTCAAGTGAGTGAACTATGTGCAGATGAGCTCCTACAGTGATGGCAGAAAATAGCATTTACACAGCAATGGCTTAAAACATACCTCTTGTTCCTTCTGAATCGATTATTTCATTTCCCAGAGTATCTGTCAAAATTACTGCCTCCTGCAGTCCAAGGGCTTCTGTTACTTTAGTGCTGATGGTCTGCACACAAGCCTCAAACTCTGCAAAGCGGACTGTCACTATTTTGTTGGTCTCCAGCTTTCCATTAACCACTTCAGCCATGAGGATATTCCTGAATATTGATGAGAACATATTTTTTTTTTTTTAGACATAAACAGTCAAGTAATATGTCATCTGATGCAAGCACTAGGTCACATGCTAGTACTAATACTAGGAAAGACTATGTATTACAAGCAAGTTATCTGTAATATGAAACATGTTAAGCCCTTATTTATATTATATGTTGATGCTATTCTAATATTACTCTGGCAGAAGGTGTACAATCCTGCTTAGTGCTCTCTGACATCATCCCACGATTAATTGAATAATGGTGATTCAAATTAACGGTCACTTTTGCATTTGTTTTTCATTGAATTAAATATGAATCTGATGAGTATAATGTTATTGTTGGCCTCATGCTCCTTATTTAGGATGAGATGTCTCCTAAGCCCTAGAAAGCTTCACTTAGAATGTGATGCTGTGACACATTTTACCTTTATCTAAAAACTGTAGCTCCTGTTATTTGGACATTACACTTGAACATATTACAGTTATGATATTTGGATTAACTGTTCAACCATATTTTTGCAAGGGTTTACTAGCAAACAGAACTGGACACACCTCTGCAAATAATGTTGCCTAAAAATAAGTAGTAACAGAGACAAAGGATAGTTTAGCAAGGAGTAAAAGTTTCCTTTCATCACCTAACAAAGCTCTTGGTGGTGGTGCTCCTTGAGCAGGAGGAGCTTGTGGCTGTACTGATTGAGCGGTGAAAAGAAAAGCGGACAGGCTGACCAGTCGGAAGTGCCGCTGTTGCTTGCTCAGCAGTGGTGCTGTCACCATGCACCTCATAGTGACTTCTGGTGATGAGGTCAAAGGTGTTGAAGTCACCATCAGGTCTGGGAAATATGGCCACATTGTTGTCATCTGTCAAATAGACAGTTTCTTTTTGGACCTATGATAGAAACACAGGTTAGAAGAGAGGCTAAATACTATGTTCTCACACACACGCACAGATAGCCAGTTAAGTTAACTCATAATGTAATTACATCATCAAAAAAATAATTTATGCCTTTTGATTACTGTACATTTTAAATGTTGAGCTGGGAAATTCTAAAGAGAAAAATTAAAACCAGAATTGTACTTTTTAGCACTGACAGTGGTTCTTGCCTGATGAAATGTTAAAAGTATCCCTCTCCTGTATGGCTTATAGAAAATGTAGTTACACAACAAAATGTCTCTCTATAACCAAAGAAAAAAATTCAGATAGTGGTTACTCAACATGCAGGCATAGTATCTCTTTAACAAGTCTCAATGATGCAAAAATAATTTTTTTTTAAAAATCTATAAAATGAAATAATAATTACAAAATCAACCTAGAACAAATTCGCACCCATCAGTAAGTGGGGGGACTTTTCCTGTTACTAAAACTAAACCTTGTACCGAGATGGATTGGTACTCACGGCACTCAAGTTAAGTCTTGTCAGGGGGTCAAGAGCAGGTCAGAGCGACAGGCGCCAATTCAGAGGCCCACTGTTCAAGATGGCGTTTATTACGGATTGGCTTTACTAGCTGAGTCCCGACCATTGACATGTACGGAGAGCGGGACTTGGTCTCTTTCTCCAGTTCTACATAAGGCCTCCATGATTTTTGTAACATGCTCAAGCAGAAGCAGAAGGAGCAAACGGAGCACTAACATTGAGTGCGCTCACATTACCGCCACTTAAACTAGAGATGCGTGATCGCAGATCGGGCAAATGGCGAAAAATAATGTTTACATCCACTCTATTATAACGTAGTTTTAAATCAAAAAGAACATACCTGAAATATGACACCGATTTTTTCTGTTGTCATATCTTCTGGTCGTAGGGTTACCCTCTTATTTCCACGGAAAAGGACGTAGGTTTCCACGTAGCTTTCCATCTCAGAGCGGCTTCTCCGCTGTACGTAGTGCTTCTAGTAAAGTTTCATTTCCGGTTCACGCAACTTGCTTAAGTATCAAAATTGGACAAAACGGGAAACGGTCGTTATCCGTTTTGTCCATTTTTCATTTAAACACAAAATCGAAAACTGAAAAAACGAATCGTTATCCGTTTTTTCATTTTGGTTTTGGAGACAAATAATGAAGAAAACTGTTGTTTTTTCGTTTTCTTATTTTTGGTTTTATATTGAAAAACGAATGAACGAATGATACACGGATTCAGGACTGATCCAGGTCTGGGACCAGACCGGGACCCCCGGTAATTTGAAACCAGTTTTAGGGGGTTAGGGTTAAGGGGGGTAGCTTGAAACCGTTTTCAAATTACCGGGGGGTAATTACAAACCAGCTTCAAGCTACCCCCCAGTACTTTGAAACCGGGGGTAGTTTGAAACCTTTACACCGGGACCAGAGTGGGACTGAGACCGGGACAGACCGGGACCAGAGCGGGACCAGGGCGGGACCAGGGCGGGACCAGGGCGGGACCAGGGCAGGACCAGGGCGGACTCCGAGCTTTGACTCTGAGCCTCCACAGGGTCTGAGCCTCAGCTTCGAGCTCCGGCCCTGCCGTGGGTTCTGAGCCTCCGGTCTGGTCCCGGTCTGGTGCCGGTCTGGTCCATTTGAACCAAAAACTCTTAGTTTGGTTTGTTTTCATTGGTGTGAAAGTGTCTTTGCACCACCTCGGAACCAGTCGTGGTTCTTGAGTGTGGAGGACTGGAGCAGCTCGTCCGGACCTGTAGTCCACAGAACATTCTCACTTTCCCCACACGGAACCAGCACACAGACGATGACACGGAACCACTCGGACCACTGGTCTTGTTCTCAGTTTTGGTCTGGTCCTGGTCTGGTCTCAGACCTGGATCAGTCCTGGTTCAGTCCGTACGTGGTGTAAAAGTTCGGCATCTCAGTCACTGAAGTCACGTAAACAGGAAACGGCCGTTATCCGTTTTTTTCCATTCTTCATTTAAACACAAAATCGAAAACTGAAAAAACGAATCGTTATCTGTTTTTTTATTTTGGTTTTGGAGACAAATAATGAAGAAAACAGTTGTTTTTTTTGTTTTCTTATTTTTGGTTTTATATTGAAAAACAAATGAACGAATGACACATGGATTAGATGCGGAATGTAGTTTTTTTGTTTTCGATTTTGCACCTGACCAGGTAAACTCTCATTTTCAGTGAGCTGTTATAAACCTGTAAATGAGTTGAATCACATTTAAACATCCAGAAATGAAGAGTCTGAGGTTTCCAGAGATACAAATATGTCTGTGTTACAATTAAGTTCATGAGTGTAAAAAATAATTTATAATCACTCGTGGTGGTCTGTTTTCTTTTATGCACTTATGCTCTATGGGCAGAACTAGTAACATATGTC